AATTTAATTTCCCCAGAATGCAAGAGCGTCATCACCTTACATTTACGCAACAGCTTACAAACTATAAAACGATTTTTTTAACACTTCATCTCATCTTCATTATCCATCCTCTCAAGCCAACTTAACGACTCTAAACTTACCTATTCCTACTCTTGTTTTCTTTCCACTCAGTTGGGCCCTAAATCCTCCACAAGGTGCTCAGTGTGATCTTTTAAAAGAGCATTCACTGCCTTTCTTCGAGTTCTTTAAAGACCTCCCTCATATATATTCAAGATCTACAAGGTTATTTGTTATCTGTCCCCTGCCTCCTTCAACTCTATTTCATTTCATTCTCCATCCCCATCCCCGCAGGCTCCAACTACGTCTGAAAAGAGTCCAAACTATCTCTAAGTCAGTGCCTTCACGTTTGCTGTCCCTATGTCTGGTAACTGCTCTTCTCAAGGCTTGCTCCTTCATTCGATACCTCAGAAAGGACTCCTCTGACCTCCGTAAGCTCCCTTCCCTGCTTAATAGGTGTTACAACCTGAAACTACCGTTTTCTGTCACACCCCCCGCCCTCTCCCCAGACTGCAGACTCCAGGAAGGTAGAGGGAAAGGTCTTTTTCCCAGTGCACAGAATTTTGCATACTTGTTGAACGAATGACTAACATTTTTTGAACGCCGGCAATCACCAACTCATTCCGCTCCCTTGTCTACATAACTCAACCCTTGCGAGGGGCTAGGAAAGGGGGCGGTAAACAACCTTGAGGGCCGAAGTTAACTTGAGCGGTAGCAAACAACAGGGGAAAGGGCTCCACTTTACCCAGTGCACTCGGAAGCCGGAGGGCCCCCACCAAGAAGAGCACGGGGAACCTTCGCCCTCAACCAAGGCCTGCATCGCCGGACCGGAGCTCAAGTATAGCCCACGAAGTGTCAAGAAACGAAATTCTCCAGGGGTGGCGGAATCAAGTCCCAAGTCCCCTGTCTCACTGGACCGGTGACGCACCGAACTCACCTGAAAAACCAACACACACGCCTCAGGATCACGCCGACCGGAAGTCTCTGCACTTCCGTCTTCCGGGCAGAGGACACCCGGGCCGGACGCAGTGCATGCCGGGAGACAAAATATCTCAGGAAGCCTTGAGAGGCGGGATTTTGGAATCCTGGCGCTGACGAGCTTCCTTCTTTGGTGTGATCGCGGACCTAGAAACTCGGTCCGTCCCATACAGGTGTATGTAGAAGTCGGATTTGGAGAATGCGGAAGCGTGTGCCAGTCAAGGTTAGGCTCCAGGTAGGTCCGCTTTCCGGACGTGGGCAGGGGAGCCCCGAAACTAACCCATGAAGTGAACCTGACCAGGGGACCCTGCTGGTCAGGTAGCGAGCTCCGAGCCGACCTTTAGATCTGACCTCACCGTTTACAGGATACTCATATATTTCCTTAGATCAACTCAGCCTAGATCAGGTGTTCTTCCAGAGGCCGTATTGAGATCATTTTTATTTGCAGCCTGTGAATTTTCTCATCTCGGGTGATGGCCTCACAGATGTACACATATGTCAAACCGTATCAAACTGCACACTTTAAATATGTGCAACTTATTGCATGTCAGTCATACTCAAAGCTGTTACCAAAAACAGAAAACAACCTTTTCCCACCCCAGAGAAGAATTTAAAGGGTAAAATGATCAAAGGATTTCAGTTCTACCAATGTTTACCTGTCTGATCACTTACGTATCAAGACAGAATGCTAAACCTAGGACGATTGTCTTAGCTCACGAAGAACACTTACTTTACAACTATTTCTAATGGCATAGGCTTTGGAACTATATAGGTCTGTGTTGTATTCTTGCTTCCAATACTTGTGAACGATATGGGTGAGTAACTAATGTCATAAGGGCCTGAATTTCCTTGTCCCTAAAGTGAACATAATACAACCTAATTGATACTGTAAGAGTTCAACAGATGGTACCCTTTTTACATTACAGTTTCAAACGTATAGCAGCACAGTACTATTTGTAAGCAATGTTTCTAGAGATTTACGACATATACCCAAAAAACATGTCTTTGATGATGGCCTGGTGAATTCCTATTGGTTGCTAGAAAAAAGGGTTCTGAGGCAATCTATGGGTACCTTTTTTCTTTAATTTTGTGTCCTTTGTGAAACCATGCATAGTATGGAAATTACTGAATTCAGAATATAGCAAGGTTAAAGAGGCTGAAAAAAACTTAGAACATTTGATACAAAAAAAAGGAAGCATGCCTAAGAAACCTGGTTTCTTTAAATGAGATTTCGTTCTTATAAAGCAAGTGAATTTCTGTTTTACAAGTTAACCATATACTGTACCTCATCTTTCAAATGAGAAGTTAGCTACCTCACCCAAAAATATATGTGCACATTGCATTTTAGAGAAAGCTCACATTCTGATAGTCCATATTTACTGTATCTTGTTTAACATACCAGGACAAGACTTTTGAATAGGCACTTGGCACCAGAAAAAATAATTTACCTATTATGAAAATGTCATGTTGTTAAAATACCATGCCATGATTTAGCATTACAAGTGCTTTAAACAGCTAAGTAAAACACCCTTTTACTCCTTTTTACTTATGTCCCCTCACCAGTTATATAAAACCATTCTAGAAGAGTTTTAAGTGGCCTTAGTATATTTAAAAGTCTAATTCATTCCTTCATTCATGCCTTTGAATATGCACTCGACAGGCACTATGCTGAATTTGCAAAGATGAAGGAAACTACTGTTTTTAGGAAACTTTATCCCTTAATGGACAAATAAGGCTTAAGGGTCCAACTAAACGTTACAATGGCTCATCACAGAGCTAGAAGAAGCCTATATATAGAACTAGAGGCACAGTGGGTGGCCCTGAATACCTTACAGGAAGCAGACTGATTTTCTCATCCAACAGGCATGCTACATGATGCAGAACAGTCAGTGGGGCCCCTGCAGTCAGGCCTCTCCCATGGAATCTCTGATCTGCACAATCACTTAGTAAGGAACAGGAAGACTTCTGGGATTCAGAGAGTGACCCCATGTTGCCCATTCCCTAGATGATGGGGATTTCAAGACAAAGCTCTAGAAAGATGAAAGGAAAAAGGAAAAAGTATCTAAGTTCCTAGCTGCTCCAAAAAAAAGGCCTGCAGCTGGCTGTTGACCACTAATCCCTAGAAACACATCAAGTAGACTGAAACTAGGTCTGAGAAGAAATCAAGGCAGGTGTATACGGCCTACTGCATCTCTTTTCCCAAATTACATTCAAGAAATACAAAAGTTCTCAGATACTGCTGTTTCCTCATTTTTCTCCTCTTATCTGTTCTTCCTTTGGCCCTTGCACACTTGAGTTACCTGTTGCTCTGTCCAAGTCCTGCTAATTCCACTTCATTTCTTTTTATTTTTTTATTTTTTTTGAGACAGAGTCTCACTCTGTCACCAGGCTGGAGTGCAGTGGTGCAATCTCGGCTCACTGCAACCTCTGCCTCCCGGGTTCAAGCGATTCTTCTGGCTCAGCCTCCTGAGTAGCTGGGATTACAGGCGTGCGCCACTAGGCCCAGCTAATTTTGTATATTTAGTAGAGATGGGGTTTCACCATGTTAGCCAGGCTGATCTTGAACTCCCAACCTCAGGTGATCTGCCCGCCTCGGTCTCCCAAAGTGCTGGGATTACAAGTGTAAGCCACCATGCCCAGCCCTAATTCCACTTTCTTACTATTAATATTTCTGGAGTCTGCGTATTTTCACCTTTACTTAATGCAATGCTTTAAAATGGTCTAGGTATATTCCCTACCTAGAAGAACTCATACCTATACACAGTGGGACATATACACAGACTTACATACCACATAAAATTCATTGACAGAACACAGGAATAAACCAATGGTTCATTTATACAATGTAGTATTTTTATACCAAAGGATTTTAAACTTCTTGGTCTTGGGATTCCTTTACACGCTTATTATATTGATCATATCAGAAATTAAAACAATTTTTTTTGAAAATTTAAGTCATTTAGAAAGGATAAATTTATTATGTTAACATTTTTATGGAAACTATATTTTCTAAATAAAAATAATTTAGTGAAAATAATGGCATTGTTTTACATTTTTAAAATATCACATCTACTTTTGCTTATACAGAATCTTTAGTCACAAATCAGTCCATTCCACCTTTGAACTGAAAATAGTATTAATACGATCAGCTGACATTAAGCACTTAGTTTAGTTTATATATCTATCTCATTTAATCCTTGTAATAGCCCAATAAGCTAGCCATTATTATTATTCCCATTATGAAGATGAGGCAAAAGACCTAAGGAAGGATAAATAATTTGCCAAGTGTCACTTAAGCATCTGGTTGGATTGCAAAGATTCTAATGTAGATGCTTTTACCCACCACGCTATGTTAAACTTGATTGCACTGCATCATGCACTTGATAATTCAACAATTAATGATAATAAAGTCAAATTTACATCTACAAATCATGCAAGGTTAAATTGATACTACAAGTTTATTTCAACCTTAATAGCTGGGAAATACTTAGGGGGTGTTATGGGCTGAGTTGTAGTCCCCCCAAAATTCACATGAAGAAATCCTAATCCCAGCACTTCAGAATGTGACTGTATTTGGAGATAGGTTTTTAAAGAGATAATTAAGGAAAAATGTGGTCCTCAGTGTGGGTCCTAATCCAGTATGACTGGTATCCTCCTAAGAAGGAGAAATTTAGGCACAGACAAGTACAGAGGGAAGGCCATTTAAAGACAGGGAGAAGATGGCCATCTACAAATCAAAGAGAAAGGCCTCAAAGGAAACCAAGCCTTCTAACACCTTGATCTTGGACTTTTAGCCTCCAGAACTGTGGGAAAATAAATTTCTTGTTGAAGCCACCCAAGCTGTAGTACTTTGTTATGGCAGCCTAACAGAATAGTACAGTGACGGAATTTGACAAAGTTTCATTGGTTACTGGTACACGGACCTGACACACTGTGTGGACCAACACAAATGAAACCATGAGACAATATTTCCCAAGTATTTTTATTTTGAAATAAATATACTTAATGGCTGATGACCCAGTAACTTTGGTGTCCTCTAACCACATTAGCATTGTATAATTTCAAATGAAATCTATACTTTAAAAAACAATTAATGTCAAATTTTGTCATAATATCTGACTTTCAGGCAGACTTTTAATTTTAGTACAATTTAAAATAAAAAGTCATTAACATTTTAATACAATTTTAATATAATACTGAATAATTCTCTGTGGAATTTATCTTTTATATTTTTTTCCTTTTAAATTAGATGAAAATTGCCAAGCAAAGAGAGATTTACAGTTTATAATGGTAAAGACTCTACTACTCTAGAATCAGACAAATCAATATTACTTAATAATTCAGGGAAAATTTAGATAAAATCACTAGACAAAGGTAAACTGATATTCTTATATACTCATAAAATTACTTTTGAATTGCAAACAAACAGCTATGCATGGCTAATTTAGGAAGAAAAACTTTTTTTTTTTTTTTTTTTGAGACTGAGTCTCACTTTGTCGCCAGGCTGGAGTGCAGTGGCGTGATCTTGGCTCAACGCAACCTCCATCTCCATCTCCGAGGTTCAAGCGATTCTCTGGCCTCAGCGTCTTGAGTAGCTGGGACTACAGGCACGTGCCACCACACCCAGCTAATTTTTGTATTTTTAGTAGAGATGGGGTTTCACCATGTTGGCCAGGATGGTCTCAACCTCTTGACCTCGTGATCCACCTGCCTTCGTCTCACAAAGTGGTGGGATTAAAGGCGTGAGCCACTGTGCACAGCCAGAAAAGCATTTTTAATAGAATTTTTGATAGCTCTTAACTGAGATCCTAAATCAAGGATTTAGAAATGAGGTATCATAAAGAACAGTAAGATTTTAAAACTCTCAAAATTACATACGATACAAATAAAGATTGTAACAGTGTTTAAACATTGTTTCAAACTTTATTACTTAATGAAACAGTTTCTATATACTGCTTCTGATTACTTTTTTAATCCTTTTTTTCTCATTAATTTTTTTGTTGTTGTTGTTCTTCAGTTGAGCTGAGATACTTTTAATTACTTTTTATTAACTGCTTCCAGAAACCGTAACAGGTGCAGGAATAGATTGATGATATCCAAGTAGAGGCTGATGGCAGCTAATACGTACTCTTCAGGTGACAGTTTATGCATCAGTGAGTGTGTGTCATAGATGATGAATCCACAGAAAAGAAGGGCTCCTGCAGCAGCTAAGACCAACTCCATTGTCTCACTATAAAAAAATAACTATAGGGAAGAGATTAAAGAAATATGTTGATATTTGAGAACAGTATTAACAGGACTTAACTTACTTCCTCTAATGATTTACGGCTACATTACACATTTGACAAAGGTGTACAACTTTGAATACAAATGTTAAAAGCAGAAAAAGGCAAGGCAGGTCCAAAGTTGCCTCTGTTGGATGGAAGGATGAATGAGGGGATATATTCCATTAAACTAAATTACCCACTTTGAAAAATAGCATTCCAAATATAAATTATTTAAAAATATATTTCTTTTTTCACAATTAAATGTGCCACTGGAACTTGGCAGTTGTAAGCAAGGGCCTCTTTCTATGTAATTTAATTCATTTATTCATTCATCTTTCTTTCTGTCAATAATAAGGACCAACACAAGACCCTGATTTTCTAAAGGGATAATTCTATAATCATTCTCTATACAAATGTTCTGGATAATTATAACTAAGTGTCCTATCATAAGAGTATCTCTTATAGCTTTTTGAGGTTATTTATATTGACATAGCCAGAATTATATTTCAAGTTAACCATTATAACATAACTTACCTTCAAGAATCCTGACAGGCACAATATCCACAAAAGAGCAAAGAGCCTATAAAAATACAATTTTAGTAATTTACAATATTGTTCCTTACAAAAAAACTTTGTAAACCCATTCAACACTTTCTGAAAAAAAAAGTATCTATCTGGATTTTTTGCCGAAGAATAACTATAATGTAAGAATTTGTAAACATACAATGAATATAATGCCCATTTTGGATCTTTTTTTAAAAGAAATTGAAAGAACAGCTACTTATTCAACATTTGTCTTTATGGTATACAAACCTAGTTAACAGTATAATTTGTGAAGTTTTGGAACATAAAATATAGATAAAAGCAGAAATATTACAAGTATTTTAATTCAGAGATCTACAAAAAGTTTTAGAAAATATATAAACAAATAAAATATGATTGCACTTTTAAACCAAGTAATAACTTATTCTGTGAACATGTCTATCTATTGAAGTTCACAATGTACTTTCCATTTTATTCTTATGTATTATAGAACTTAATTGATGGACACATCTGACACTGCTATAATTTTATGAGTTACAATTCAATTGTTATATATAGAGAGTATAAAATATATGAGAAAGGACATCTAAAAAGTCAGTCATTTGTTATAAAATATGGGACATATCAGCTGCTTCAGGTCACAGGGAATTACAGAGGCCAAATTTATCCTCGTTCCTTAAATAAAACCAGACAAAATATATGAAACAACAGTTCCTGGACACTGGACAGCAAACAGCACAGGACAGGGATTCCTGAGATAAAGGATACAAAGAAAGTGAAGTCTATATTTGCCCCAGCTACAGAGGGTTTCCAGGCCACCGTGTAGGGATAAGAACCCATACAGACACTTGTGGTCTCCTTGAGTTGAGTAGACAAGAATTCAGAGGTCAGGGAATCCAAGGTAGCTAGAATTTGCAGGGCAGAATACCAGAAAGAAGAGAACTATCCACCGAAAGTGAGCACTCTGGTGTATGCACAGGGTTTCCCTAGAGTCTGTAGCTACGTTCTGATTAATACATGCATGTGAGTAACCAAGGCTGGAGAAAAAACCACCATAGAGAAGCAGGGAGAACAATCCTCATAGTTCACACAGGACTGGGAACAGTTTGCATTCACACCAGCTGGAGTAGAAAGACCTCTTAAGACATGCACTGAGTAGTATGCTGAAGGATACTGTCTCGGCAGTACCCTTAGGGCCAAATGAGCCCCTAAGCTAAAAGCTGTTCTGGAGCTCCCTAACAGAGCCTCAAAAGGTTTACTTTCCAAGGAACTTAACGGCATCCTAGTCCTAGGAAAACAAAGCCAAATATATTTAAAGTTAATACAACAAAATTCAGCACCCAACCATGTAAAATTTACAGTGACCAACATCCAATAAAAAATTATAAAGGCATGTAAAAGAGTGAAGGAAATCCATAACATGGAGAAGAAACAATCAATAGAAACAAATCCAGAAATGACACAATGATAGAATGAGTAGACAATGAATGATATTAAAAATATACTTGCTCGTTCAAGGAGATCGAGGAAAGAATGATCATGAGGAGGAGAGAAATGGAAGATACTATATTTTTCAAAAGACAAATTGAACTGAACTTTAACTGATTAAAAATACAATATATGAAATAAAAATACTCTGATTGGAATTCATGGATTAGACACTGAAGAAGATTACTAAATTTGAAAACAGCAATAGAAACTAACCAAAATGAATCACAGAGAGAAAAAGAAAACAAACAAAAAAAAAAACCAGGAAAACAGTGAATTAGGGGACAACATCAAGAAGTCTAACATAGATGTAACTGGAATCTCAAGCAAAGGAGAAGGAAGGGGAGACAGATAAATGTTTGAAGAAATAACTGCCAAAAATTTCCCAGATTTGAGCTGGGCACAGTGGTGTGTGCCTGTAATCCCAGCTACTCAGGAGGTGGAGGGATCACTTGAGCCCAGGAGTTCAAGTCCAGCCTAGGCAACAGCAAGACCCCATCTCTTAAACAATTTTGTTTTTCCAAATTTAATGAAAACTTTACATTGTCAGATCCAAGAAACAGAATAAAAGTGGAGGGGGAGGGAACCACACCAAGGAATATTGTAATCAAATTACTGCAAACCAGTGATAAAGAAAAAATGATAAAAGTAGCTATGTATGTGTGGGGGAAACATATACAGAGGAATAAATATAAGAAAGATGGTAGACTTCTTGTCAGAAACTACATAAGTCAGAGGACAGTGGAATGACATCTTTAAAATACTGAAAGGAAGAAAAAAAAAACCCAAAACCTAGAATCTTATACCCAGCAAAAATAACTTTCAAAAATAAAGACAAAGGTTTTTTTCAGACACAAAAGATGACCAACAGATGCTAAGAAATTTTAAAAAGAAGTCCCTCAGTCAAATGATATTAGGTGAAAATTTAGATACATGAAGAGATGAAGAAGAGTAGAAATGGCAAATACATTGGTGAACATAAAAGGACTTCTATTTTTAAAATCCCTTTAAAAGATAATATAATTTTTAGTGCAAAAATAATATATTATGGAGTTTATAACATGTAGAACTAAAAGTTATGGCAACAACGGCACAAAGGTAGGGAAAAGGAGATACAAGTATACATGAAATGGTATATTATTTGAGGATAGACTAGTAATTTAAGGTCATATATTATAAAACCTAGAGCAACCTCTAATTAAAAGAACTATAGCTAATAAGCCAATAAATAAGATAAACACAACCACCTTAATAATCACAATAAATGTAAATGGACTAAATACACTAACTAAAAGTAGAGATGGTCAGATTGGATTTTTAAAAACCAAGATCCAACTATGACTTCTAAAAAAAAACCTTTTAAAGACACAAATACATTAAAAATAACAGGATAGAAAAAGATATATGATGCTAACATGCTAACACAAATTAAGAAGAAAGCTGGGGTTGCTATATTAATAACAAAGTAGACTTTAGGGCAATGATATTACTAGAGCTAAAGAAGGTCACTTCATAATGATAAAGGGGTCAGTTCACCGACAGTACGTAACAATCCTAAATGTAAATAATATGATGCAAAATTATAGAATTTACGTGAGAAAAAGACCAATCCTTACTTGTCACTGGAAATTTCAGTATCCCTCTCATTAATTGATAAAACAAGTAGGCAGAAAATTAGTAAGCAAATAGAAGACAACATTATTAACCAACTTTACCTAATTGACATTTATCAAGTCATCCAACAGCAGCAGCAGCAAAATACACATTCTTGTCTAGTGCACAAAGAACATTTACCAAGATACCATTAAAAAATAATAATAATAATAAATGCAAAAGGACTGAACTCATACAAAATAAGTTCTCTCACAATAACAGTTATTTATTGTAATGCTATTTAGTGAACTGAAGGCATGATGAGAATCTAGTCCTCAGCTCTCTCTCTGAAATGGCCCTAAAATTTCTCAAGATACATGTGGCATACCTAAGTGAGAATGAGGTATCATGCTACCTCACAATATAGATCCTTCAGGACTGAAAGGGACTTAGGATTTGCTTTTTCATTCTTAAACCCTAGGGAAACTCCAAAGCTCCTATACCATGGGGCATGGGGAAGGTGATATTGAAGCATCCAAGGTATTACCCTACTTGCAGGCTAACAAGTTAGCCTGGCACAGTTTCATGGATGCATCAAGCTCCTAGGTCTGAGATAAAGAACAGTTTACAGTAATAACAGTAGTATCATCATTTTTATGACAGGGCCCAGGTGATACTAAGAGGGCCACGTGACACCTACACACACAGTGGGTTGTGTTACAAGACAGGAGCCTTGAATTTAGGGAAGCAAGTCTTTTTTATAATGGAAAGTAAACATGCTTGCCCTCTGCTCTAGCGAGCACCATCTTCCTAGGCTGTTCACTATTGGAACAAAAAAACCCTTGTCTGGAACAAAGGGCAGTCAGCACATCATTCCCAAGACATTCAGAAACACAAGAGACCCATGAAAAATCCTCTCCCATTCTTGTAGGCTTCTAATAAGACATTAGGATAGGGCTGCCAGAGGTCTTTGGACATTAATTTACTCTTATTCACTAACTGGACAAGATCCTACATTTAAGCCTGATCAGACACTACTGACAATGCATATTAAAACAGATATATTTTCTCCACTGCAACATCCAAGTTGAAATCTGACACACTTAGGCTCCCTGGTTAAGCAGCATGCCCCACCCAGCGACCTAAATGTACACACACTAAAAGGGTTATTTAGGGTCACAGGCTCTATTAAGTTTCTGGTAAGAGATTCAGCCTAAGACTTGTCAGTTTATGACAGCATTCTCTGTAGATACTGTAACAGGTAAAGATTTGAAAGTCATATCCTACAAATATTCTGCCTAAGTTGTTACTTCACTCTACTTTTGACTCACATCTCATTAAATATTTAAACATCAGAGAGAACAAATTTTCTGAGAATATAGATAAGATATGCCATGGATATAGTACTGATGTTGCTATTCTAACAACTCCATCTAGAGGACTGACGAATCCTACCCTCTTCTCTCTCAACAAGAAGCACAGAATAAAACATAACTTACAAACAGTGATGTGCCAGTAAACTTACTTTCTAAGAAAGAAAATGGGCCCTGATTTGTAGTGCTTCTTAATTTCTGTGGTGTACATACATCCTTCATGGCCTATTTTAAGCTTCCAGCAGTTTAACAACTGACTTGCAAGATGCCTCTTACAGGCTGGCACAAGGCAAGTCTAGCACACCAATAACCAGTTGCCATAGTTATCACGTATAGTTCTGAGATTTAATTCCTTTTGTGGCAGAATTACCACAGGAAAATGATGGTGTAAAAACATCACTGCTTTAAGTCAATCTATGAAGTACTGCCACCATTGCCTGATACTACCATACCTCCATACATTTAACACATTTCTTCAGTTCCTACAGTGTCCCATAAACAAGTCAGAAGGAACAGCCTATAAACTTTTTGAAGAACATATTTTCTCAGAAAATCTTTTCCCTAAGTCTTTATGGCCATTTTGGCACTTAACTTCCACAACCACTTTGGCTTTGAGGCGTCACAGTAAGTAGTGCCATTAAGTTTTATTTAAAATGCAATAAAGTGCTACTCTTAAGTAGCTGAACCTATGGTATACTGACCAAAGTATAATTATTATTAGGATTTTGCTAGAGAGTCATTACATGGCAGTATCCAGTAACTGATAGCAGTAGATGTGATTCAATGGAGAACAGGGCTGTATACCAAGAGCAGTAGTGAAGTGTTAAAGTTTTAAATAGGTATACTGTGATCAAGTTTCCATTTTCCTACCACCCAGCTGCTTGGTGGAAAAGAGGCTGGAAACTGGTAAGACTAGAGAATAGAGAAGCTGGTTGTAGTAATATAGGTAGGAGGCAATTTTGAAAGGGTTCTGTTTCCAATATTACAGCAAACAAGAACTATTTCAGACTAATTACTGCCCCTGTCCCACCCCAAAAAACTACTGAAATGATGCATAAAAGAGAAAACAAAGAATACCTTCTTAAAAACATCAAATAACTGTCAAGGTAGAATGGAATTATCAAGTCAAAATCTAGGTAAAAGTGGAAACCCAAAGAAGTAATCATAGTACTGTAGCTGAATTTGCCCAACGACAAGAAACGTCATCAATGCACTAAGCAGGAGTAAATTGGGGGGTGGGGGCAGAGAAGAACCATCCCTGGAAAATTGTCACCACAAGCTATCCCTTTGCTGATTTTTAGTCTAACTGAATAACACCTGTGTGGTTGGGAAAACATCGTAAGCCATGAATTTAGTTTCAAGTGGACCCAATCCAATAGTTTTCCCAGATGCCAGGGGAAAACCCAAATACTGTATGGAAAAATGCACCTTCAACCAAGGCTTCAAAGAAATTCAACAAACAATTTTTCAAGGACAATTACATAGTCAAAAATAACTGAACACACAAAGAAAGAAAATATAAGAATTATCAGAAACAGCAGACACAGACAGATGCACTTCAGAAATATCTGGTCTCAGATCTATATATGATCATTGTAATATCATTTTTATCAATCAATGTAAATTTATTATGAAGAGGCTGAAATATAAGGCAGGTTTACCAGAAAAGGATTTAGAGAGATGATACTGGAATGAATGAAAGGGAGGGAACCGTTAGAGACTGGGTTGGGAAGAGGAAGTAGAACAAATCTTTCATGATATATGCCACACAAATACATATGAAACATCCTTTCAAAGAAGGAAAAGAAAATAAAAAATGTTACCTCTCCCTAAATCAAACTCCATTCCAATAAAACTATTTAAGCAGCTTGCGCAATTGTCAGTGTTGGCTGACCAACTATATTTTATCTCAATAGAGACTTCTGGTGTTCTGGATTACCAGAATAAAAGGGGTGGGGGAGGAAAGAAAGTTTAGCAAGAGCAGACTTTTGTAAATAGTGTTGTAACAGGAAAAAGAAAATGGTTGGGTGACTATGTGCCAACAGGAAACCACTGTGAGCTTAGAAAAGAGTATGCATTCCTACCAGGTGAGGGCAATGCAGTACCATAATCCTCATATAAAAAGGATCATTCCGTATATTTGTTTGAGGAAGGATACAGGTTAATCTAGATGGATCAAAAGGTTTTAAAGTTCATGCAGACCCTTTCAATACCTGTACTAATTACAGTGCTTTTTCCACAAAGACGTGGATGGTGGTAACATTTATGCTAAGACAAAGACCGAAATAATTTCAGTAAATTCCATAATGTTAATAAAGCAAACAAGCTTAAACTCTCTGGAAAGCTGATTTTTTTTTTTTTAAATTCACTTCCCTTTCACTATAGGAGAGAAACAAATAAGTCAAAGCAACTTTCCATTTCTTTGTATGTTCTGGGAGTAGGGCCTGGCCCTAGTACTCAAAGAGATGATCTCTTATTACCCTCCATTTTAAAAGACAGTACCCAAAGATAACAGTGTAGCACATTCCTCAAAACCACCTATAATAATTAAAGACATTTATCTATTATATCCAAGAATATATACAACTTACCCAGCGCCAAATTTGCTGAAATCCCTCTTAGATTGTAGAGTATACACAGTCAAACCAAAAAATACTGTAGTAGTCAGTATGAAAGCTTGCAGAATAATATATACATCATAGAAAGTAACTGTAAAATTAAAACACTGATTAACATGCATATAAAAATGCTCAATACAAAACAGCTTTTTCTAGCATTTTACAGAAATGCTTCATTTTCTCCTGTACTTTATGCCAATAAAAACAATTAGAAAAGATTTCTTATCCATCCTTGACTATAAGGTACAGTGAAACCACACCCATAATGCAATTAACAGTCTCTAAAAAATTCATTCACACAAAATTGGAAGTCACACTGTTATCAAGTTAATGAAATTACTGGAGAGCTATTACACCTGTAGCCAGTTTGGAGTTTTAGGGGTATGGCAGAGTGATTCTCACCCATCTCTGTCTCAGTCACAGTTTACCACCGTCTGTGGTAATTGTCCATTATAGTTTAAATATCAATAGGGATGATTCTGGGTCTCCTGCCTGGCTGGGAATTCCTGGACAGTAGCAGCAGTTCCAGCAATCATCTGGTTAGTTATACTTGGTTTATCAGCCCAAATCAAGGAAACTGGGAAAGAAAAATACTAGGGCTGGCTGGGGTTGCCTACCATTCACTTACCCTGTAGAGGACAGAAACCAACCACTAACTGCATATCCAAATGTGTATTATCTTGGAGTATGTTATTTTGGGGTTTACTGAATATATGCCAAATTCCTTTCTGTAATTTTAGAATAACCATCCAGTCGATTATGGCTATTGTAATAAAGCTCCTTAACATTTTAATAAATTGCAGTTATAACCTATTGGAGGTTAACTGCTTTGAACCCAAAGCCATTTAAGTAATTTTTAATTTTTGGAGAGTGATTATTCATGTTCTTTCCATCTTTAAATGCTACACAATTGGAATTTCTCTGTTTATGCCGTTACAGGATTAGGAAGGTGAACATGGAAAAGATAAGACATGAAATCCATTTTGCTTCTTGTCAGTAACTTAAGTATACGATTAGGTTGAAAAGACATTGCAATTACTGAGGAAAATAATGTTCTCAGATTACCTCATCTATGTTTTTCTACCCCCAGTTCCAATAATCCTGAAATGAATCTCTCTCCTACATTCTTTATACATAATAGGGGCTGGAGAAGGGAGAGATGGATTTGAATACTTTCTTTCTATGTTAAGAAGCTCAATCCTATTTATTACTATTTATATAGATTCTTTTAACAAGAGATTACAGAAACATATAGCTTAAACAAAACTGGCATAGAAAGGTTAAAAAACTAATGACAAAATAGGAAGAGTTAAATACATTAACTATAAGGATAAACAACTTGCTGTTATGGAGAGTAATAATTAACTCTGACCTTTTTGGTACTCAAGGTTAACCATTTTGAGACACTGAGAATTTCTATTCTTAATTTACTGAAATTTTTTCCTTGAGGCATTATATAGGGTACATCAAGTAATTATAACAGACACGGCCTTCAAACACATATTTAAAATGAAATACAGAGCAGAAATTACCACTGTTTCTTGTAGTGCCACTTGATAAAATATGAGGATATAATATTAAAGCACAGTTCGGCACAGGCCAGTTAAAGGAGTTAAGCTCATACATATGATGAAAGTATGTGGCTCAAAACACATGTTCTCAGTTACTTGAGGATACGTTTAAATTATGGAAAAAATTAGCTATAGTTGTCTTATTTTTCTAAATGGGTAAACAAATGAAATACTGCTCTCCATTCCTTTTATTTTTCTTTTCCACTTCTTCTAAGCTCAGCTGAAATATGTAAAGGATAAATATCTGACTTTTGCTTATACTTTAGGAATTCTTCATCCTATGCTATATTTCTGAAATATGATATTCCATGTTAAACTTTAGCCCCAAATAACTTTTTACCTGAAAGATTTATCTACACTGAAAAGTTATTATAACATATAGAAATGCAATTACAGCTTACCAACAACTGCCACAGTCAGAGCTTCCAACAGCGTCTAATGAAAAGAAACTTAAATTAATGACAGTAAAAGGTATACTATCTCATGTACATTTTCTAATTTCTAGCAGCTTAATGTGTTCCCTTATGAATGATCTCATTTTAGCTTCAAAGCAGCCCTGTGAAGTATATGGGACAGTTAGTAAACCCACCATAATGAAAATGAGACCTCAATATATTGAGTGAGAACATTTACATTCTAATTGTGATACTATGACTCTTTAAGTTCTAATCGCATATTTGTAACAGGAAGACTGTAAATATAGAACATTCTATTTTTCTTACTGTGTAATATAAATAAAAATACAATTGCAAATTATGTGCACATTTATAAAACCTCAATACCTCACACAAACATAGGAAGAATAAAATATTTAGGTAGTACTTTGGTGTGGGAGTCTTGAAAGTGTGTCCCAATATTCATTCTTTCTTCCCTAATAACAGAATTTTTACCTGGACACATGGCAGTTCAGATTAAACTGCATTTTTCCAGTCTCCTTTGCAGTTAGGTCTGACTACATAAGGATACTCTAGCCAATTTAATGTGACTAAGATAGGTATACAACTTCTGGATTGTGTTCTAAAAATAAAGAAAGACTTGCTCTCCCCTTCCTCTTCTCATTTGCTTGTATTAATAACTGGATGCTTTGTGGCTATAGGAGTGATCTATCTTATACCATGTGATCTGTCTTATACCACTCTAGGAATGCCTGGACCGTAGCAGAAGCGTGGGCCCTTGTCACCTTCACTAAATTGTCATTCAAATTTTTACATGAAGAGAAATAAACTATCTTGTTTAAGCCATTGTTATTTTGTCACTGTTTAAGCCATGTCAGAAGTAGCTGAACTAATATCCTAAATATAAGACCTGGGGATTCCAAGCCTTGTCCTCTAGCCTCTGTTTTCCCTTAATTACAGTATCTTTATTTTGTCTTATATCCTTACTCTAGATAGATCTTATCAACCATCTGATAGACCATATTACAAAGGCAAAGCTAGAAATAAAGGCAGTGGCTATATAATCATACTCCTGGTAGAAGCATCCACCCTACCTGATATCAAGAAACCATCAGCACCCGAGCAAAAATGGTATTAGAAATTGTACATAGACGTGGAGGCAATGGAACTGCTGTTACGTTTTAATGCTTTTAGTAGTGCCAGCAAAATGGTATCAAGATGATAGAAATTTTTTTCTGGGCTGGGCGTGCTGGCTCACACCTGTAATCCCAGTACTGTGGGAGGCCGAGGCAGGTGGATTGCTTGAGTCCAGGAGTTTGAGACCAGCCTAGGTGACACAGCAAAACCCCGTCTCTACTAAAAGTACAAAAAAAATTAGCCAAGGATGGTGACATGTGCCTGTAGTCCCAGCTACTTAGGAGGCTGGGAGGTGGGAGGATCGCTTAACCCCAGGAGGCTGAGGTTGCAGTGAGCCAAGTTTGCGTCACTGCACTCCAGCCTGGGTGACAGAGAGAGACCTTGTCTCAAAAAAAAAGAAAAGAAAAGAAAAGAAATTTTGGGGGGGGGCAACATGATTATACTATATTCTTACTATTTGTGACAAGATTTTAAGAAAGAAATCATCCCATACACATTCAAGTATCTGAAGGAAATAGGATGGTATAAATAGGAGTAAAGATAAGACCTAGGAAAACATGATAACGCCCCTTTAAAACATATACACACGTGCTCCTCAAGTTACAATGGGGTTACATGCCAATACACCCCACTGTGAGTTGAAAATATCGTTAAGTCAAAAATGTAGCTCAGAGTGTTTTTGGTTAAAGAATCACAAATGCTTAAAGTCTGAAACCTCGTGGTTGCATATTGCTTTGACACCATCATAAAACTGAAAAATCTTAAGTTGAATGATTCTAAGTCAAGGACTATCTATCTGTCTGCCTGTCTATCTATCTATCTATGTGCATGCATACACACACACGCACTCCTACTAGGGCAAGATAAGCTTCACCTCCTTTCTTACCTCGGTGGATCAGGACCAAAAAAAACCCTAATGTTAAAGGTCCCTGAGTAATTTGAGGAAATGTATTTTACACACTTATTTGTTAAACCATTTTTAGCTATGGGCATGATGAACAGATTTAATAATCAGTGACTATCTTGCCTATAAGCATTTGGTTGATGCTTTTCTAGTGGGACCTCTCCCTGCTGGGCAAAAGTTGACCCATACCATCTTCCCACATAGAAATCAGTCTTTCTGAGAGGAGGCTACATGTAGATGTGAAGAGGAATTCTACATGGCCTTATTTTTTTTATACTTCCTCTCTCTTGAGACATAGCTGACTAGGCCAGGAGTTGGCTCTGACCCAAGGCCTGGCAACCCATATACTGACTAACAGCCTACAATGTGACCTGTGCCAACAACCAAGTGTACCAATCAGATTCTTTCTCTCTCCTTTCTTCCTTTTCCTTTCTTCCTCCCTCCCTCCTGCCCCCCTTCTTTCTTTTTAAGACAGGATCTCACTCTGTCACTGAGGTTGGAGGGCAGTGGTACAATCTCAACACGCTGCAACCTCCACCTCCTGGTTTAAGTGATCCTCCTGCCTCAGCCTCCAGAGTAGTGGGACTACAAGCATGTGCCATAACATCTGGCTTATTTTTCTATTTTTTGCAGAGACAAGGTCTCACTATGTTGCCTGGGCTGGTCTCGAACTACTGGACTCAAGCAATACGCCTGCCCCGGCCTCCCAAAGTGTGGGGATCACACAGGCGTGAGCCACCACGCCTGGACCAGATTCTTTCTGACCCAGGAATCTGAACTCAGAGATTAAAGCAATGGCAGTGGGAGCTAAAGTTAAATGACTCTATGGGGGCAAACGATGGGTCATATAAAAATTAAAGACAGAAAAAGGGAAAACAATGTATAAGGACAACTGAGGTAGAGAAGAGATGTAATAAAACGAGGGAGAGGAGAACACAAACTCTTGTCACTGAATTGCCTATGATATCATCATTTCTGGAACCTTCCTCCAGTTCTCCAGTTAATCTTCTTGAAGAGGATTTGGGTTGGTGGGTTCTCAAGTTCTTACATCCTTAAACTCCTTGTTACTTGCGATAACTTGAGTTAGGACTGACAATCTTGCAAACAAAAGAGCTTAAGATTTAAAAGAATAATCTTTCCTATTACTGAAACTTTCAAAGTCATCAGCTTTTCTTTATCATTTTAACACAAACTCACCAGAATTCACAAACGTTTTAGTTTAAAGCATTTTAATCTAATCAATAGCTTTTCCCACTCCTATCTGACTACAAGTATTCTTTGTTTGTTTGAGATGGGGTCTCACTCTGTCACCCAGGCTGGAGTTCAGTCACATGATCTCAGCTCACTGCAGCCTCCACCTCCCCCACCCCGTTCAAGTGATCCTCCCACCTCAGCCTCCTGAGTAGCTGGGACTACAGGTGTACACCATCATGCCCAGCTAATTTTTGTATTTTTTTGTAGACATGGGGTCTCACTACATTGTCCAGGCTGGTCTCAGACTCCTGGACTCCAGCAATCTGCCCACCTCAGCCTTCCAGAGTGCTGGGATTACAGGCATGAGCCACTGCGCCCACCCAAGTATTCTTAGTATTAGTTTGGAATGCTTTGAAGTAAATTTTTAAGGTTAGAATCTAGTCATACTGGATGAGAAGAGGCAAAATAATTTTTTAAACACATAACTTGAGGCTTAGCCCCTTATTCTGGTCATATTCTAAACTGAATTTTCATAAGTGGTAGTTTGGGTTTTAATTTTCACAAATATCTCAACACACATGACTTAAAGTTGGGTTCTCCCAACTATAATTTTGAAAGAAGTTACTAAAGCACATCATTTGAGCAAAATGGTTCCTTAAAAGACCAGAGTGGTAAGATAATAACACAGAAGAGTTAATAATAAAGAACTTAAATTTTATTAAATTAAAACCACAACATAATTTTTTTCCAAGAAAATAACAGAATATTAGCGGTAGAAGGTATCACAGGGATTTATCTACTTTAATATTCTCATTTTACATATGAAAAAAGTTAGGCACAGAAAGGCTAAATGCCTTGCCAAGTGTCACATAATCAGATAGCAGCAAAGCCAGGTCATCTGATTCCAATTCAGCATTTTTTCCACTACATAGTAATATTAATAGAAAAACTTTTGAAACTAATAAACTGTTAAAGGTTTTAAAAGACTATACAATTACAAGTAATTTCCTAAAGTACTCTAAAAAAACTCATTAATTTTGTTCTGCCATTGTTATATATGTATTATAAATGCATTTATTTAAAACTCAGGAATAATTGTTAAGGGAATAGAGAAAGTCAAAGTACTCACAAATCCAAAAAGTAGGTACAGGTTAAGGGGATACTTATGTCTGTTTAAAGTCAATGCAAAAATCAAACCCAGAGATCCGAGGGCAAACAGCAAAATTAAGGCAGGACTGAAAGACATAATATTAAGTGTTTCAACTTAAAAAAAATAGCATGAGCAGTATTATCCAATTTAATAAAATTTATCTATTGTATATGTTTATGAAAGTACAGGTAAAAAAAATCTGGAATGATCCACACCAAACTATCAAATTATTTTATATCTGGAAAATTTGAGGAGTACAAGGTAGAAAGGAGCCTCAGGACAAAGAAAAGAGCCCAAAATGAATGAGGGAAACTTTTCCTTTTTACCGTATAAACTTCTATAATATTTGAATAATGTTTGCAATTAGTACACTAATATTATACAATAAAGAAATTAAATAATAACTACTTTTTTAGGGTATTTGCCATATGGCTGTAATTTAAATTTAAGAATTATACCTCAAATAGTAAACTAATAGTTCAAGATCCCCCTTTGGTGGGGAGAAGGGACGACAGAAATTCTCTACTTCTATGAAAATATTCATTAGTTCCCCTTTCCTTTAATAAACTGTATCATGGAAATAATTATGATTCATCCCTGATTAAAGATTAGGGATGAATCATGCGGAGCTCTTTTGAAAACTTCTTGGTGAAATTATCCTAGTCTTGAGCCAAAAGCAAAATGAATGCACATTTATTTTTCAAATACTGTCTTAGGCTTTGAGCACAGGGAATATAGTCTAATAAAGTTTTTTAAAATTAAGATTTTTAAAAATGGCATGCAGAAAAAATTCTTAATACTATTCCAGGGGATGAGGGTTTAACCCTAAGAAACTGAAGCTAAAAAGTTCAGAGGTAAATACCATGTTGTGGAATATTTTTCTTCATCAAAAAAAAACTAATCAGGCTTATAAGAGTTAATGAACCTTTTTTACATTTTAACCTCAAAAGTTAATACAAAAAAAAGTGGATTTTGTTTATAATATGCCTTTGATCATATGCAATGTCTGAAAATGATTCATTATCATCTCATTACATTACCTCTCATGTACAAATGTCCGTATAGACTCAAAGTATAAAAAAACTGTTGAAGTCACTGTAGTTAAGAGAACTTGCAGAGAAAGAATGCTGTAGACTTTTCTTAGAAAGGCTAAAAGAGAAAACAAAATACATTACTATTTTCTTAAGCATTTATCATAGAACGGTAAAATCAAATTTCCTCTTTAAAAAATTGTTTCTTACATGTATTCTTTCCTAATTTTCATCCTAATAATGTAATATATAACTAAAACTAGACAAGAATACAAAGCTTCCAAAATAATTTTAAAATTGTATGAGATATCTAAAGCTCCCTACAAAAAGCATGAGCCTAAAAAAATTAGTGGGCCAGAATGTAAATGATTTCATCAAAATGAAAAATGTATTAAATGCCTAGTTGTACACAGCAGGATACAACATAGCAAAAGACTAAAAGCAGAACATTTTAAAAGAATGATTATATTTTGAATCTAAAAAGGAGAAATAGAAAGCATATAAACCTAAGTTATTTTATGTCTTAATTTCAAAAATAGTAAAAATGTTTCCCCCAAATGAAACTTATCCTGAAAAGGCAAGTAATATATAAACTTACTTTCACTCATCTATTATTATTTCTCATTTATAGCACCCCTGCCTCTAGTTTCTATACAATAGAAAATCCTTACTTTCATAATATTTTGTTATCAATACCCAGAAATCACCTCTAAGGCTTAATGATTAAATGCTTATTATTAAAGTCTTCTGATACACAGTGAAACAAATAATACAATGAACTTCCAAGAACTCACTACTATCTTCAGAAATAAAACATTAATAACAGTTCCCACCTTCTCTCTTCACACTTCTGGCTAACTACAAATCGTCTTTCAAGATCCAGCCTTTCTCAGTTCCCCATTCTGAATTAGATGTTTCTCCTTCATGTTCCTGGGGAACCCTAAACATACCACTAATCACTTTATAATTGATAAATCTACTTGTCCTTCACCCCCCTTACACTGTAAAGACCGAAAGCTCCCTAATAACCGGGAACAAGCCTAATTCATTTCCTTACTCCCACCACTCAGCCTAGTGGATGGCACTGAATAAACAGTCATTACATTTTATTTGCTTTTAAATAAATTTTTACTAAATTAATGAAGGGTGAATTTTACTAGTCAGGGAAGAGAAAAAGTATTATTCTGAAATGAAACAGAATAATGGTACCACTACTTAGAGAACTATGATTAGGCAGGCAATAAAAATCATGTTGAATGACTTTTACCCAACAAAAGAAAATGTGATGTTGTCTCTTGCCTATCATGGCAATGCTGGGTAGATGAGCATTAGATGGTGGATGTTCCTTTTGAAATACATTCCTACTAAAGACCTGGCTTTCCAAGGAAGGGTGAAGTCCTTTGATGGCATGTCAGCCAAATATCAAGTTAAAAAAAAATAAATAAAAATGAATCTTTCACAAGAATAAGGGAATTTTCATGAATACTAAGTATTTAATCATCAAAATGCCCAAATATTAAATCTTAATTTTTCCCTCTGGCACTCTTTCCAAAATCTAGAATGAGTTTTCCTAACGTCTTAAAACAAATTTTACTGGGCATATAATTTAACCAATGATTCATAAGAACACTGAGTGTCCATTGTATTTTGGCTTAGAGATAAACAGTTCTCAACTCCACAACAGATCTACGACTTACTTTCTTAAAAAGGCCCTCATGTCTGAATGCTTTGGGAAGTCATTTCTATCTTTTTCATAAAAGCAGGGTAAAGAATATTCTACTGGCATGGACAATATTATTTGGGCTATCTTTCTTCAAATTTAATTATTAAACCAAAGGTCAAGCCATTACACCTGCAAGGGATTTTTCTGGACTATGAGAAAAAAAAAAATTGTATTCTTTACACTATAGCCTCCATGTCCTGGACTCAAACCATCCTCTAGCCTCAGCCTCCCAAGTAGCTGGGAATACAGGCCCACACCACCACACCAGGATGGGGTGTGTGTGTGTGTGTGTGTGTGTGTGAGAGAGAGAGAGAGAGACAGGGTCTCACTCTGTAGAGAGAGAGAGAGAGACAGGGTCTCACTGTAGAGAAAGAGAGAGAGACAGGGTCTCACTCTGTCGCCTAGGCTTAAGAGCAGTGGTGTGATGATTCGCTGCAGCTCCAGTCTCCAGGGCTCAAGCAATTCTCCTAAACTCAGCCTGCCCAGTAGCTAGTACTACAGGCACATGCCACTACGCCCAGCTAATTTTTTTGTATTTTTTGTAGAGATGGGGTTTCACCACGTTCCCAGGGTGGTCTTGAACCCCTGGGCTCAAGTGATCCACCCACTTTGGCCTCCCAAAGTGTTGGGATTATAGGCATGAGCCACCATGACTGGCCGTGGAATGTATTCTTTACTTCTCATACCCTATTAGGTACCTCATGTAACTCAAAGCCAATCCATATGATATGTATTCTCAAGCACTGAAAATCAGTGTTATTTCTTACCATTTTGTAAAACTGTTTTACAGTTCAAAACAATGTGCACATTAAGATCTAATGTTTATTTGTATATCTGTGTATGTACTCAAGTGCATACATAATAAAAGACTAGAATAATATACATCCAAGTGCTCGTATACCCTGCGCAGTATTACTAAGGATAATTTGCATATTCAGTTCTTTACTAATCTGTGTTTTTTAGATACTAGCAATATGTATTACTATTGCAATTCAAAACATTTTAAAGAAACTTGTGCTAAGCCTTTAAGTTCATACTAAAAAATTATCCTTAAGCAGATATTGCAGACCACAACTTTTTCTATACTCTAGTATCATAAGCCAAATCCCAGGCAAAAGCAGTATTGACACCCATTGTGAATAATATAAGTAGCAGCAAAGGACATGCATATACAGCTTTCAGGAAAATATAAAAGATTCAACATGAAAAGAATATTACTCAAATTTTCCAATTTTTGTTGAGTCCTCATTTCTTCCCTGCTATTTGACATCTCAAACTTAACATGGCCAAAATTGGAGCTCTTCATTTATCCATATTTGCTGTTCACCCAGTCTTCTCATCAACAACCAGCACCAACATCCTCAAAGCCAAAAACATAGAAGTCATCTTTGATTACCCCCTCCCTGTTCCCAATCTATCATCAACTACCGCAGTTCTACCTTTGAAAGTGCAATGTATCTGCCTCTTTTGGTCTCCTCTGTTACCTCCCTAGTCAAAGTGTGCCTAATCTCTCACCTGGACCACTGGAGGAACCTTCTAATTGGTCCCCATGCTTTCACTCTTGTCCCCCTGTTTCTCCACATACTCTGTCAAACTGATATCTTTGTAAAGTAAACCATATCATGTGACTCTGCTTAAATACTTAAATAATCGTTTCACTTAAAATAAAATACAAAAGATTTTATAGGACCTACAAGATCCTACATGATGTAGAACCTTTCCAATCTCATCTCAGCACTCTCCCTCTTCCTCACCAAGCTTTACCCACATTAGTTACCTTCCTGCTTTGGGGCCTTTGCACTTGCTGTTTCCTCTACTCAGAATGCCCTTATCCTTCTTTACATGAAGTGGTGGTTTAAGATAAGTCACAGTTCTCTGACACTCCCTTCAAGTGAGTCCTAACAAAAAGAATGATGCGAAAGTGGCAGGGTGCTACTTCTAAGACCGAGTCATAAAAGGCATTACGGCTTCCTCCGGCTGTTTCTTAGATCATTACCTCTGGGACAGTGTTTCTCAACCTTGTTTTCATTATTCCCCACGTAAGTAGCCTTCCAGGTATTTTTTCCTAATAGCCCCCTCAATAAAATTGTAATGCCACAAATTTATTATATATCTGTTGTACCATCACCCTTTGGAAGGATATATGCCATTATAAAATCTTAAGTTTTTTTAGATCTTCAGATCCCTCTAAAGAACCAACTCTCACCTAATGGGGTCAATAGCACCCCATTAAGAATCCATACTCAGGGAAGGCCAGCTATGTTGTGAGCAAACTCATGGAGCCCTATGGAAAAACACATGTGAGAGGAAAGTAAGGTCTCCTGCCAACAGCCAGTGAGAAACCAGGGACTCCTATAAATAGTCCTGTGAGTAGCCTGTCTGGAAGCACATCCTTCATCCCCAGTCAAGCCTCCAGACGACCAGCACTAGCCAGTATCTTGACCACAACCTAGGACAAACTCTAAACTAAAACCACCCAGATTATTAACTCTCAGAAACTAAGGTGATGTTTATTATTTTAAAGCACTAAGGTTTAGGGTAATTTGTGACACAAACAGAATTAATATATATCTTGGTACTTGGAAGTGGGGTGCTGCCATACCAAACACCTAAAATACGGGAGACAGCCTTTGGAATCAGGTAATAGATGGAAGCTGGCAGATCGGTGAGATGAAGGCTAAAAGAGCCTTGAAGAAACTGTTTGTAGAAAGTTAATGCGTTTGAGGCTGCTGCAGGTGACGGCTTAAAGGAAAGTGGGTAAAATTTTGTGCAAACTGGAGGAAAGAGAATGCTTATTATATATTCAGGAAAAGTTGAGCAACAGTGTTAGCTATGTTAACATCAAAAGTAGAAAATGTGCTTAATCAAGTGGGTGATCAAACTAAGGAGACTTCTAGAGTGTTGAAGGTACCTGCTGGCTTCTTGTTGCTTATACTAAAATGTAAGAGAAGAGATACACAGCTAAAGGAAGAACTGTTAAAACAAAAAGATGGGCCAGGCTCACGCCTCTAATCCCAGCACTTTGGGAGGCCGAGGCGGGCGCAACATGAGGTCAGGAGATCAAGACCATCCTGGCTAACACAGTGAAACCCCATCTCTACTAAAAATACAAAAATTAGCTGAGCATGGTGGCGGGCGCCTGTAGTCCCAGCTACTCAGGAGGCTGAGGCAGGAAAATGGCATCAACCTGGGAGGCGGAGCTTGCAGTGAGCCAAAGAGATTGCACCACTGCACTCTGCACTCCAGCCTGGGCAACAGAGCAAGACTCCGTCTCAAAAAAAAGATGAAAGCCTTCTGACTCAGGGACATCAAAAAAATACATAAAGAGCATAATTGTAAAATCCTTAGTTAAGACCTCACAAATATCCAAAACTGTGCCTCAAAAAAAAAAAAAA